GCTGCCTGACACACGCACCCCTCCCGGCGTGTCATTGCACGCGCTCGCGGCCCCGCGTCCTTACACGTCAGCTGTGCGCGCACACACACGCGCACCCCCCACACACACACACACTTACACGTCAACTGTGCACACGCACCCTCCTCAGGCTTCGTGTGTGGGCTGCTCCCGCACGCGTGTGCACCCCCCCTCCGCAGACTGTGCGTGTGTGCACGGCTGACATGCACGCGCACACCTCCTGCACATGCTTCACCTCCTCCTCGCTCGCGTGTCAGTTGCACACACGCACGCGCACCCTTCACGCACTTGTGTGTCGGCTTCACGCGTGCATGCTCTCACTTGCTTGTTGGCTACACACCCCACGTGCATGTGTACATCAGTTGCACACGCACGCACACCCCTGCGTCACACACTTGCATGTCAGCTGCACACGCAGACTTGCACGTCGACGCCACGTCAAGTTTTTTCTCTTTTATTTTTTTGTTTAAATATCCCCATTTTAAGCTGTCGCGTTGCAGGGGAGCGAGCGCTTGGATCAGGCCCCTGTAAATGTGCACGTATTTACACACGCAGGCGACACGGTCTGTTCACAACACCGTATGACGTGTTCAAGGAAAGCATTTGAGCAAATTGCTGTTGTGATGCTTGGGGCTTGGGTCTCTTCCCTTTAAACGTGTGTGCACGCACACACCCCTCTCCTTTTCAGACTTGGGTGTAGTCCAGATAAAAATCTTCAAATATCTCGCCCCGTTTTAATTCTTCGTACTAAACGGTTTACTCAGGTGACGCCATGTCTCCGTTCGCGATGCTGTATTACTCGTTTAAAAGAATTAAAACGTTGGAGCAGGCGGCTGCCATGGCTTGATTTCAAACCTTGCAGGGCAGAGCTTGGATCGCTTCCTTTTAAACGTGTTTCTCCCGTTCTCTCTCCTCAAGCTTGTACGTCGGCGCCATGTCAGGGTTGTTTTTTTTTTCCTTTAAATATCTTGCCCTGTTTTCATACTAACCTCCCTGCCCGGGTGATGCTGTCTGTCTGCCCCTGAAATTGTATTTCTACTTAAAGTAATTAAAGCGTGCGAGTAGGTTGCTGTTATGACTTGAGCTCACACCTTGCAAGGAAGTGCTTAGATCTGTTCCTCTTCGGTATGTTTACACACGCATGCACGCACACCCCTTCTTCTCCAGCCTATCTGTCAAGATTTCTTCTTTCAGTATCTCGACCATTTTCACTTTTCATACTAAGCTCTTTGTGCAGGTGACGCTCCCTGGTCGCAAGCTTGTATTCGTTTCTTTAAAGAATTGAAATGCTTAGAAAAGTGTGCCTGTTGCCTCTGCATGCTAAAGCCCTTTGATAGGCAAACTGCTGCAGCAGCGGGCTTTCCATGCTGTCAGGTGAGGGGCCAATTTCTTCCCTGATGCAGATTGGGGTAAAATAGATCTCTCTCAAGTGCAGTCTTGAACTAGAAACTTAACTAGGGGGTATTGTGATGTACGTGTACCGAGCGCAGGCCTGACATGACACAAGGCTGGAAGAAAAGGTACCGAGATGAAACAATGGACAAGCATGTTCTGATCCTGTACAAGCCAAGGCTTGTAATGTTGCATCTCTGACCGTGAACTTTATTTGAAATTGTAATGGACGACCTAATGTTATGAAGCTTTCTGTGTATATTATTTTAAATGCTCTGTTTGGCAGCAGCCATGATTTTACCAAGCGGGATTTGAAATCCTTTATGGGTGACATCTGAATGTCTTGTTGGAGGTGAATAAAAGTGCTGATGGTTTTTAAGCACAGGGATTGACTTAATGCTATTTAACAAAATGATACGGAGAGGAAATGTCGATCAGTCTCTATTCACACATTTCTTAATCTTGCCTTGTTCTTGTTTCCCCTCCCCCCTCCAGAATCCTTGACATTGAAGATGGTGAGTAGTCAGCCAAAGTACGACCTAATACGGGAGGTTGGTCGTGGCAGTTATGGTGTGGTGTACGAAGCAGTTGTCAGGAAGACCTCTGCACGGGTTGCGGTGAAAAAGATTCGGTGCCACGCTCCAGAGAACGTGGAACTAGCTCTGCGTGAGTTCTGGGCGCTGAGCAGCATCAAGAGTCAGCATCCAAATGTCATTCACCTGGAGGAGTGCATCTTGCAGAAAGATGGTATGGTGCAGAAGATGTCCCATGGGTCCAGTTCCTCCCTTTATTTACAGGTACGTCAAGCTGCAAGGACAATGGGAGCTATTTGTGGGTGCATGCAGCTGGGAGGAAAAGAGGTGGAAAAGTAGCAATCGCTTTCTTTTCCTTGCCGTATCCAGTACACGCACATCATAGCAGTGAGCTGCTTTCAGTTGCAACAGCGGAAACCATTTTTTCCTTATGATGCAGCAAATTGACTAGCCTATTAAAGAGAACACGCTCATCTAATGAACTTTTCTCTTGGTGCTTTGGGAGTTTATAATGAGTGTGTATTGTTTATAGATGCACTTAGCTGGGAGAGCGAGACTGGCAATGTAATGATGCCAACAGTTCTTTATGTATTTGCCTGTGATGTATTTATTAAACAAAATCCCCTAGATTTCAGAGTTAAAGGCATGCGGTTCCAACGGACTTTATGAACCCACACAGCAAAATTGCGTAGTCTTCTAATGATTTATGGGAATGAGCTCCAAATGAACACAAACCAGATACTAATTCCTGCATGTTTTGGGTAAAAAAAAAAAAAAAAAAGTCTATTCACAATTAGAGCTGCTGTGAACACTTAAGATGTGGCTCTGGGTTTCTGAACTCCAGCCACCCTTGCCAAGGGGAATAACCATCTTTGCTTAGGAAACCGTTCCTCAGAAATCCCACTATTAGAGTGCAAAGGAGCCAACACTTTATTTATGCTTAGAACCTTAAAAGTGTGTTATAAGGAAAAAAGGAAACGTGTTGAGGATATAAAAGACAACAGTAAGGAATTAGATAAGAGAGTCAATTGATATTTGTGTGTAAGCATCACCCTTCACAGTGGGAGCAGAATGTTTTTCTTTCCAAGCATTTACTTTGCGTCCTATGCCTTCATGTTAATACATTGTAATGACTTTTAACAATTGGAATCTGTGTCGACATAGTTGAATGCATCAGTCAAGAACCTTTTTCTGTCATTTTTGCATGCAATTAGGAGCCTCTTCACTAAATACTTTTATAATAGCTCTCTGTGGGGATTTAGGCCCCCTTGTGCTAGGTGCTTTGCAGACCTAGGAAAGAGATGATTCTTGTTTTGAGTTCATCATAGCAGTCATCTTTGTCCTAGATTCTGCAAAGGACAAGATCAAAAGGGACTGATCAAACACTTCACCTAATAGTCCTTACTCCAAAGGCCTTACAAACATGGAAGTAAATATCATGTAACTAGACTTCTAAAGAGGCTTGGGTAACTATGCTAACATGCTAAAATGGGGGAAATAAACATCTTATGCCATTGCAGAACTGGACAGCTGCAGTATTTAGGGGAAGGAAGGGGGTTGCTTTCTGAAGGAATGCTTTGGGGGCAGATCCTCAGCTGGTGTAAGTGAAAGTCAGTGAAGCTAAAACTTCATGCGTGTGTGTGTTGCTGGTGTCAGGCAGGACAGCAAGATTCTGGGATGAATGAAAGTTAAACGAAGGTGCTAAATCCTCTGAAGATTTGCTAGGGCTGTGCGGAAGGAAAAAGAGCGTCCTGTTTCCATGCACGGCTCGAGGGAGATCCCTTGCCAGTGCCAGAGTGCTTTGGTTCACTGTTATGATCCGTGTGTAAATGGTCAATATATAACTTGCACAACATTTGGATGTTGTGCTCAGTCATTGTCCTGCAGCTCTGTCTTGAACACAGCTGTGCCAGCAGTGACATGCTCAAATTGCTGTGAACTTAATCTTTAGGTGGAGAGCTTATCTTTTTGTTTCAGAAAGCTGTTTTCAGAGGCTGTGTTGGCACATGCCTTCATCTTTGAAAGAATAAACAAAGTATCCTTCCTCTAAATAAAATTCACATGATTGTAAACCCATAGACGACTTCCACAAATCACTGAAATGCTTAGTTTCTAGATTGCACTGAGAGCCACCTCGTATACAAACGGAAGAGGCAAAGGTGTAACTGTGGTTAACAAAACCTAATGGCTTATGCTGTAAGTTTTTCCTTTGACATGATTACTGGAAATTGTCAAAGGTATTGGTTCCATGTGTCCTGGAAAACATCAAGTTGATAATGATCCCTTGAAAAGAGTAGAAGTAGGAGTCCATTAATATATAGCTGCTTAGCTCATGTATATGAGTGCTTGGAGTTAGCAGATAGTATGTTATAGTTTATTTTTGCAGGTGGTGTGGGCAGTAGGTTTCATAAGTTGAGGACAGATGATCCCTGTCACAGTGCAGTGCTGCTTAGTGAAATATGTGTTTTCACGAAAGTTGTTAGTGGAAAGGGTGGGACTAGTTAAGCAGCGGGTGGAACACAGCCTGGCTGAAACAGATGGGAATGTTCATAGCCACTCATGCATCTTTCAAAATAGTGTTATCTGGGCTCTTAGTTGGGGCTTGAGCTCAATATACCCCACAGGCGAAGAAACAATAGGACTCTTAAACATTGGAGTGAGCAGATGATTGGGATTTCAATTTAAGCTTAAATGTATGTGAAATAAGTAAGAGAGAATTTAGTGCATATGCGCTGATGAGATTTGAAATCTCTCTTCCTCTGCAGCTTGTAGAGACCTCGCTAAAAGGAGAAATAGTCTTTGATCCCAGAAGCGCCTACTACCTTTGGTTCGTCATGGATTTCTGTGACGGAGGGGATATGAATGAGTACTTGCTGTCCCGAAAGCCCAGTCGTAAAACCAACACTAGTTTCATGCTTCAGCTGAGCAGTGCTCTGGCTTTCCTGCACAAAAATCAGATTATCCATCGCGATCTCAAACCTGACAATATACTAATATCACAGAGCAGGATGGATGCTAGCGATTTGGAACCCACTCTCAAAGTGGCTGATTTTGGATTAAGTAAAGTATGTTCGGCTTCGGGGCAGAACCCTGAAGAGCCAGTCAACGTAAATAAATGTTTTCTTTCAACCGCATGCGGGACTGACTTCTACATGGCACCAGAAGTCTGGGAAGGACACTACACTGCCAAAGCAGACATCTTTGCTCTGGGGATTATAATCTGGGCAATGCTGGAAAGGATCACCTTCATCGACACGGAGACGAAGAAAGAACTCCTGGGGAGCTACGTGAAGCAGGGGACAGAGATTGTGCCTGTTGGGGAGGCACTTCTAGAAAACCCCAAAATGGAACTGCTCATCCCTGTGAAGAAGAAGTCTATGAATGCTCGCATGAAACAGCTGATTAAGGAAATGCTGGCTGCCAACCCGCAGGACCGCCCTGATGCTTTTGAGCTAGAACTCCGATTAGTCAAAATTGCTTTTAAAGACAGCAGTTGGGACACGTGACCTCTGGAACGCTCATCTCTGCACACAGCTGCTGCTTTTTTTTTTTTTTTTTTTTTTTTAAACAAAGGTGCAAACCTTCTTGTGGCAGTAAAAAAAAAAAAAAAAAAAAAGATAAGAAAACGAAACAAACCTAAACTCAGCACTTCAGGGTTTAATTTCAACCAAACTGATTTTTTTCTTCTTTTTTTCCCATGAATTAAACTAAACTTGAGTTGGCCATCTCATTATAAATACACTTATATGTATATTCCCAAGATATTCTACCCAAGCGTAGGTGTCAAAATAATTCATGTAAGCTGTCCACAAAGAGGCCCGAGAGTTGCGCTTCTTTTGCTTTCCAGGAATACGTTATGGAATATTTCAGACATTCCAGTTTCGTATCGCAGTATTAGGAACTCCCGTGAACGAGGAGGTTTGCATGCTGGCAGTGCAAATCCTTGGGCTTTGTAAAGTAAATCTATGTATATATTTATGTATATGTGAGTGACCGAGCGTGTGCGTGTTGCATTCCATAGAGAAGATGCCACTTCTGTTTAAATTATTTGGTGTGGGTTTGGATGATTGGGATCTGCCGATTAAACTCAGTGAGGGAAATAAATGATAAGCATTCCTCCATATGTACTTGCCAGATGAATTTTTACATTTTTATTTTTATAGCCTATTATCATTTGGAAAAAGAAAGGGCCTAAAACTTGACTTCTTCAACAAAAAAAATGCAATTCAAAGGGATCAGCAAATTCAAAGGTGCTGTGATGTCTCTGAGCTTAGCACGGCCTAGTAAGGTTGCAGCCGAGGGAGTCAAATTACAAATGTATGCAATCATGTGCTAGCATGTTGCTTAGATCATTAATCATTCAGTTTTTGTTTTCTTTTAGGTAAGCGCACTCTATTAATCAGTTAAGCTACAGTTCCCTAACATGACTGCACCCTTGTATTTATACATCCCTACAGCCTAGAGCACTTACAGGAGGGTGACCTTGATTTGTGAAAATGTAGATACCTAACAGCAGACTCCAGCAGCTGAAATCGCTTTAAGGTTCTTCATAATCTGCTGAAACACAATCTTTCCTGTTAGTCTGATCTAGCTGATACCATTTGTATCAGCTCTTTCCTATCCTTGGCATTGATGCAATGTCTTTTCACTGGTTAGTGCTGTGGCGATAAAGGGATTATTATCTTCAGTGTTAAACACCTCCATTTTACAATATGGGTGAGATCTCAATACTTAATGTATGAATGAGATGTTGCAGCTTCAATCAAATCTTTTGTGCGGAAAACTGACCGACCTTTGGATTGCTCTGCTGCATAGGAGAGGTAGTGTTTTGTTCCTTATGACTTGGTTTTATTCTTTGTCCTGGATGGTAGGACACAACCCGTTGAACTAGTACAAGCCTTTTTATCCCTATGTTCGCAAAAACTGATCAATTCATATGTTAATGGAGAACTTTCCCAGACTTCCTAATGTTTTAGGGTAGACTTGAATTACTTGGCAGTATGATGAACGCTGACCAGCCCTGTGAATCATCGTATTTGTTTCCTCTAAGCTGATAATTGATGGATAAGACCTGAATTTTTATTCTGTTATCCAAAAAAGTCCTGCAATGAGTAGGCAAAACCTTACAAAATAGCACTGGAAGAATACCTTGGGGCCAGATATTAACGATCCTAGGGCCAACATTTAGGCTTTAAACAGGGTTGTGCAACACCAGGTTTGCAAATTCGAGAAGGTTTTCCACTGCAAATGACTTCTTGTTTGGTTTTAAACATTCCTTTGCAGTGTTGGCAACTCAGAGGTGGGGCCCTGGTGCTGTGGCATGAAACCCAGGAAGTGAAACTGCCCCTATACAGTGTTTACTTTCTCTAATAAATGAAATGGGAGAAAGTAAACAATTAGTACAGATAAAGAAAAGTGCAATTTGCCCCTCCAGGGATAATAGGGAAAGGGGGTGCAGAGCAGAGCAAGGGGTCATTTTGCTAAATACCTAGATATTTGTAAGAATCCAGATGTTGGCCTCATATCCCCTAATGGATAGAGCAGGGCTCTAGGAACTTTGGATTTTATTTTTTGACTTACTTGATCCCCTCTTGGTCAAGCGACCTAGCATCTGTGGTTTTCAAGTGGAAAATGGTTTCCTTTCCAAAGATATTTTCAATGTCTCGTTTCAAGATATCTAATGATGCTAGAAAAGCACAAGAGAATGTTTTTCAGGCACAATGCTCTGTCCTATTGAGAGGGCTCATCTAAAACTTCACTTGGTGTAAATGACTTAGTCCTAAGTGGTGTTTTGTGGAGTTGCACCAACTGAGGAGATCGCCCAGGGTTGTCTTGGGCAAACTCTTATCGATGTCACTTATCCCCTGCATGGAACTTATAGGAAAAGGTAGGACTGAAGTTAAACATGGACTCAAGCAGCAATCATGATTTTAAAAAACCTTTAAAAGTGGTGACCCATTCAGTTGAACATTTTCCACCTGAATTGGTCCACTTGAAGCCCCAGCTTGTTTTTGGAGACAAGGTGCTAGTTTAAGGAGGAACCCTGAGTGTCTGTGCCAGCATTCTGGTTTTAGTAACATCCCGGCATGTAACAGTTGCTTTTGACGATGAGGTAAGAATCATGGAACAATAAATACTGAGAGATTTTTAAAGATACCAAAAAAAGCAGGAATTGATAGTCTTCTCCCTAACCTACTCTAAAATATTAGTCTGTTTTGGAATAATAATACTTAGCACTTCCCTTCAAAGCGCTTTGAAAATCAATTTGATACTCGGAAGAGATTTAAAGGATAAACACCAAACCTGCTGCTTACCTGCAGTGCAGAAACTAATGGAAAGCGAGGGAGGTAACGAATCGCACAGTGAAGTTGATTTCCCAAAGTGTTTCTTTGCACTGATTGCCACTTTAAAGGGTGGGGGCTACCTGAAACCCTCCCTCGGTGCTTAGTCTTGATGTTGTGAAGCTGAGTGTCTCGTTGGTTAGCACTGAATGATAGTCCTTGATCTGTGTTTCTTGTTCTGATTTTTTGCTCGAGGGTTTTTTGGGGTTTTTTTTGGATCTCTGTAAAACCTTTAACTCAAGCTCTTGTAGCAGCTACAAAATTCACCAGCATGACACAAAGGTCAAGATAGTCATCAGCACTTCAGAAAGCAAATGGACTTTCAGAACTTTTTTTTTTTCTTTTAAAAATTGTAAAATATATTTTATGAAGAATTTATAAAAGGGGAAATGATTGTGTAATTTATTAAGTTCATGACTGTTTTGAAATAAAATCTGAATTTCAATGACACTTTTGGAGACTGAAGAGACATTTTTCTTTCTAGTCGGTGCCAGTTTGCTGTGTAGATAAGCCATCACAAGTGCTCCAGAGAGGCTTGTTTGCCTTCTGGTAACTTGCTTGTTGAAAAATGACAATCAAATGGTATGCAGGTTTCTTAGTCTATCTTCCTTGAGTGACATCAGTGCTTGTGGTAGATACTAGATTGTTCCTACAGCAGAGAGAAGTTGGAGACTGGCAACCATTCACATTTTTCTATCAGTTCTTCATTAGGTTGCTACACACTTGACAGAGAACAGGGACTGAATTGCCTTGAAGATAAAGAACTTGCTTGTTCACAACTTGAGGTGATCCATGTTCAGGCAGCCTCAGCTGAGGCCATTAACAAGGATCCAAATTGTGATGCTCTTTTGGGCATCCTGATGTTTTGATGTCACTAAACTGGACGGAGATTGCTAATGTGTTTTTTGTGTGCATCACTGAAACAGTGGGCCGGTGACAGCTTTTCGGTCTCTTCTGCCCTGGGCTCTGTTCCTAGCTCAGGTCGACTCTGTATCTTGTTACCAACACTACTAGGCTTTTTACTTTTGAAGAGCTCCTAGCAGGCCAAAACTTTTGAAGAGCTCCTCCTAGCTGTAGACAGGCCAAAACTCTCTTGCGAATTTTGCATCTCGCTGGGACAAGTGAACAACACACAGCTTTGTGCTGAACACACAGGGACAGTTATTTGTGCGGTGTATTGGGATAGTGAGATTTAATCCAGAAGATGCCAGTCAGTGTGTTTGGTGTATGCAACTCATCACCTCCCCCAGAAATGTCCTCTTGTAGCCCTATCCTTCATGCAGGAGGTGGCTGGAAGCAGTAAGGAGAAGTGCATCCGACACCGCAGCTGCTACATGCAGAGAAATACCATTTGTATCCAGCACAGAGTTCTAGGAGTATTATCCATGACTTCACAATTATTTTAGCTAAATAACAGTGATACAGACGGTGTCTGTCCTCCACTGCTGAATCTATTAGCCAAGGTAATTATAAAAGGGGAATAAGGTGTTACCTTTTCATTTAAAAGAGAAGTGATTTTTTTTTTAAAGGGAAAAGCCATATCAAAATCCCTTTTTTATTTAAAAAGAGTAAACTTTGAAATATCACTAAGCTGAAGGGAGAGTTAAGCTAAATGTAAATGATGGGATAAACCTGCACGTTTCCAACTATATTTGTGTATAATATAAAAATATGAGTTGGTGTTTTAGAACCAGATAATCTGTAGGATGAAACATCTCAGCCCACCAACTGGGCCTAATGAAGGGCACGGGTTTGATCAAATAACATGATGCCTGCTGCAGCGTGTGAAGATCTGACTCTGTCTCGCTTATATGGCTTTACTGGGCAGGGCTTGGCTGGGTGACACTGCTCTTCAGGGCAGGGGCTGTGAACTTGACTTGGTTTTTATTTGTTTGCTCTGTATTCATTTAAACAGTGTCTTCCCCTGCGTGCCAGCCAATCAGCGCTCTCGCTGAAATTGCAGCGTAATGACAGATGTTGCTTTGTGGTTAAGATAGCACTGAGGAAACCTACAGCAGCTTCGCCTGCCCCTTGGACTAGTGCCCTCTGTTTAAAGAAGACATTTATTTATATATATCCTTTTTCTTTCACAGGGATTGGCTGCTAGCGCAAGGTCAAGCTGAGCCTGTGCAGTCTGGAGAAGGGCGGTAGATAGGTGACTTTTGTACTGTTTTTCTGTTCTACTAGATAGCAGTGATTCTTCACGCAGTTGGGACTGGCTTAAATGTCTTGAACTGCAAAGTCAGAAGAAGGAAGAAAATAATAATGAACTGCCATTAGAGTCCAAAGGTGCTGTCTCAAAGTCAGCGAGCTACTGGCATTTAAGCATAAATCATTCTTAACAAGGCCCCACCGCTTGCAGGAGACGGCACTGAGCACCCACTGCTGTTTCTCGTTTCCTTTTCAGCCGTGCGGTTATGCAAAGTGCTCACTCTTCTTGAGTCTTTCTAGGTAAGGAAGAGGGATTTATTACACCTCTGTCAGCTGCAAAGTGTCTCTGTGCACCTGACATACTATAGCAATTACTTAAAGAATGAGAGAATCATAATGCCCTGCTCTTACAAAGCTCTGCATCCAGTTTGTGCATGTCTTGGATAAGAGGGCAGTTTTGCAAGTCCCTTTTTTTATAGATGGGGAAACTGAGGCCCAGAGAGTTGCAGTACCTTGTAGCTGACCTGCAGGCCAGTAGCAGCTCTGCAAACCAAAGCCTGGTCTCACATCCTAGTCAGCCATTAAGATGCAGTGCCCTGGACTGATTCTTAAGCTGCTTGCCCAACCCAAACAGAAGGTAACTGTATAAGGACTATATTAATCATAACATAGCTGTGCCAGCTCAGCTAACCCCTGGCTGTGATCCAGAGCTTGTGGTTGTTCCGGGGAGCGTGGCCACGAGATGGCGTGTTGTAACTGCGACAGGCTGCCGAGAGGTCTCTGTATTTAGGAAGCTGAACTATGCTTTCTCTGGATTCCCTTGGACATGGAAGTACTGCTTTTAGGATAATGGCGTAGCCCATGTGAGCTCTCTGCTGCCACTGCCAGTGCAGGCTGCTCCCAGCTGCTGTGATGGCTTATCAACATGGCCCCCGTCCAGAGAGAGCTCCACTGTCACCCATCCGACAGGTTTCACTTTCGACCCTGGATGAGAGCTTCCCATCATTAGTTGCTACTGCAGGTGCTTTGTAAAGCCAGGCTGTCCCTTCCCCTGTCCCCACAGGGGATGGGAGCACTTTGCCAGTGTGAGATGCTGTGTGTGATTGCATGCCTCTTTGCGATTCAGAGCACCTCTCACCTCGATCTTCTCATGGAGCAGATCCATCCTCCCCCTGCCCAAAGTGCCAAAGGCTTTCGGGTCTTCACCTGGAGCACCCCTTGGGTAACACCAGGACCTCTCCAAACCTAGGAATCGCCAGGTCAGATGCACCAACTGTCTTCTGGTGAGCCCAGCATGTGCATAGGCCCTGATCAGTGGACAGAAAAGAAAGCAACGGCAAGCATTTCACCTAGAAGCAGGTGGGTGTGTGGCTGGCTGTCCTGTTTTCAGTCGGATCTATTCCATACCTGATCGCTGGGGCATCCCGGTGCTCTGGAAACTCTGCAAGACCCTGGCTAAGGAGCTGGCACACGGTTCGGAGTTGTTCCCTCTTGCAGCGGGTAGGGTGCTGGAGAGCTCCCCATTGCTTGTACCTTGCAATTCCTACCCTGCCTCTGTAGCAGCTGTGGGCTATGTTGCTTCTTTCCTCCTAGCCCCTAGGCCTAGTACCTCTTCTTCCTGCAGCAGTCAGGCCCTTTCTTATGCCAGGGCCATCAGATGTGGAATTCCCCAGCAGAGGCTATATGGGACACTCAGAAGCTTTTCTTACCTGCCATCTGGCCCTGCTTAAAGTAGGCTTCGAAGACACGGAGGGGGGGTAAAAATACCCAAGATCTGCTTACATGGTAGCATCCCCCAGCCAGCACAGGTGGGGAATTAATTACAGGCCTGGATTGTGCTAGCAACTCATTGCTGCTGGTACAGCACATTGCTCTGACCTGAATTACATGCCTTTCAGCCTGGATTCCTCAGGGCTGCATTTCCAGGGCGTGATGCCTTGTGTTGGGTCGGGGTTGACCAGAGTTTTACGAAGAGATTACATTATGGACCTGTGCAGGATGGTTTGGATAGGGATGATCCTGCCTCAGGCAGGGGAATGGATTCAGTGACTTCCAGGGGTCCCTTCCAGCCCGTCTCCATGGTTCTTTGAAAATGTCAATTAAAATCTCTCTTGCAGGCACAAGCCTTTAAAGCAATTAGCTTGTGCTCTGCTATAGCTGCTAGCTGGCCAGGCAAAGAAACTTTCCAGCTGTCACATTTTAAATCAACAGGAAAAGATTGTGTAGCATATAGGAGATGGTTGCACCCCTTAGTTAAGTCTGTAGGTGGTTTTCGTCCAGAGGAGTCCTAACATCCTGCTTGGTTTCCAGCACTGAAGGCATGGAGATGGATGGCTGCTGCCCTCATTCCTTACAGTCATTAACAGTCCCTTCTTGCGTGAGCCTGGCTGTCTGCACCAAATTCCATTCTCCGGCCATCTCTTCTTTCCCTGCAGTCTCGATTGGATACGGAAGTCCTCAGTTCCTCTCCCAAGCGTGTGGAGTGTTGCCTTTCAAAGCTCTTCCTGCCTGCTCATCTGGGATCGATTAGAACCGCATGGCCTGTCCCCTGGGGATGGTGGTGGCTTTTCCACCCTTTATCCTTCTCAGTTCCAAGATGCTTTGGTTGTGGGGGGTGAGGCAGAGGTTATACGGATCAATGACACTAATCCCAAGCACTACGTCGCATCTCTGCTGTCCCAGCCACTCCAGAAACAGCACCTCTTAAGAGTAAGTCTTGGCTTCTGATTTGTTTTTGAACCTTTCTACTCTGTGTTGTCCCGCACTGCCCGAGAATGTTACCTTGGGGGCAGGGGGAGGAGATACAAGGTTCTCACGTGGTCTCAGGACTCCTGGAGCTGGGGATTGAAGGAAAACAACCAGTCTGAGAAACCAGCTCTGAGAGCAGGGGCTGGCGACACTCGGCTGTGTAGCCATCAGAGTAGCTTGGACTGTGCGCTGGGAGGGAGATGCAAGCTAGTGCTGCCGTCACCCGAAAGCTCTGCAGGCCACCTCCAGCAATGACCTTGCCCATGAGAAGCAGCTGCCTTCTGGTGAGCTGAGGCATCCCCTTGGTCTAGGTCTTTCCCAAGAGATGGGTCAGTTTACTGCTACTGAGACCCTGCGCCTGCTGGCAGGAGGGCCATTATCTTCTTTGTCTGTGGTTATAAGGTGTCTTGACAGCTGGTGGAGCGATTCGCCAAGCCCCTCAAGTGAGTCCTGATGAGAGGGGTGCATGGAGGAGGGCGAACGCAAGTGCCTGGCCAGGGTAGGAGGCTGGTCTAAATGGAGATGATCTTCCTGGAGCATCTCCCCCCACCCCTCCCAGGCAGTGCCCAGGCCACATCCCAGCAAGTGACCTGCAGGTGATGGTGCATCCAGCCACGCTGCCTTTGCTACACAAGGGCAGGAGCCCCAAATACTGCATTTCTGGGCATCTTGCTCTGTGCTGCTGAAAAGAGGCAAGTCTTTGGGGTTCAATTTAGCAGGGCAGGGGAAACAGCTGAACTCTGTCTCAGGCGGTGCTTTTCCTACCTGCTTGGGGAAGCTGGAGCTGGCTGGGCTGTTGCTAGCAGGAACAGCCCCAGGTCAGCCATTGTGGGGTAGGGTGCGTTAGGGTAGCCAGAGGGATTTGGGCTGACCTGGCAGTACTGAAGACTGCAGTTACATCTTTTTGGGCTTTTGGCTGGTTTCTGGTGTGAGCTGACTGGCAGGAAGGGAATGACAGGAGCCGTCCTGTGTGTGTCTGCGCGTGTGCATCTCCCAGGTGGAGGATAGCACCTGGCATTAGCAGGAACAACCCCCAGCTGATCAATGGGGGCTGAGCCAGTGCTGCCCTTACTCACCTCTGCTCTTCCCAGAAGAACTGGTTTGCTTCCACGGCTGCAAATGAGCTTACTGTAGTACGTGGTGACTCACGCTGCCCAGGGGCCCACGGGGCTAAATATAAGGATGTTTATTTTCAAAGCTGTTTTGTTCTTCCCCGTGTGACTTCCCCAACATTGCTGAGGTCACGGTGACTGCTATGGAGTCAGTTCCCCACTCCGTGGCCCCGCACCCCTTGCTCACTCCACGGGGGGAGAAGGGAGCTGTATGGGGCTGTGGGTGGCAGGGGAGAAGGCACCCGGCTTGCAGACCTCACGCTCAGGGTTGCAATAGCTCCCTGGGGTTTCTTCTGCAAGCTGGGATCCGCCCTGGCCACTGTGGCCCACGTGCTTTGCCCTTCCCCACCTCGCTGTGTGTCCCCCAGTTCTTGGCATGCTGCAGCTACTGCAGCCCCTTAGCACACACCTGTTCTGGTGCAAAAGGGGCTCCTGCGGGACGTGACCATGCCACACCTTTGCTGCAGCACAGACTCGCTTCCCTCCATTGTGGAAGTTGAGTTGGGCATGCAGCACCTAACCTTTTGCTGGGACAAGGCCAGCCAGGCCAAGAAAATCAGGAATACCTTTATCCCAGGGTAAGTTACCCATGGACATGTCTGCTAGTCAATCTAATCCCATCTGGACTGCAGCAATGGTCCAACTGGGATCAAAACTGGAGGGTTCTGGCTACAGGGTCTTGTCCCTCTGCTCAGGGTCAGACCGGCACCAGATTTGGGGTCTGGAAGGAATTCTGTCTCATGATCATATTGGTACAGACTGGTGGGGGGAGGTTGCCTTCCTCTGTAACGGGGGCACGGCCTCTGCTTGGGATCCCTTGAGTGTATGTTAACAACCTGTTATAGAAGCAGGGCACTGGCTGTCGTGGTCCCCCTGCTTTCCACAGGCCACCAGGCATGAGATGCAGACTGCCAGGGGGCACAGACAGCCTGGCTGCCCGGGTGCCAGGAGGCACGAGATGCTGCAGCTGGGCTCCAGGGGGCAAGGGGAAGTGAGCAGGAAGGGAGGGGATGAAACAGTTTCCCAGGGGCTGCCGTGCCATGCGCTGTACAAACAGAGCTGAGACGGGGCCTGCCCCAGAGGCACTTCCCTTTCAGGCAGGGGGCACAGCTAGGGAGCCCAGGGCGGGGGGGCCCAGGTCTCCTTTCCCCACTGCCAGGTCGGGGCCGCCTGGCTGCCTGATTCCTGGAATCCCTTCTCTGCCAGGCTGCAGGGACATGCCCATGGCCAGTTCCAGGTACCGGGTCCCTCTGGGGCGCCGTGACTCGGCCGGAAGGAACCGACGCTGCTGGGAAAAGGCAGTGGCCGAGTCTGGGCTCCACGCGCTGGATGGAACAAACAGCGCTCAGGACCAGAGCCAAGCTGGGCTTTCCATTGCGCTTTCCTTCCAGCCCTGCTCTCCCAGCTCGCGGGCTGGTGGGACTGCTTCCGGCAGTGGTTCTCACCCCACACCACTGGGAGGGTCCCGTGGGTCACCCTGCGGACCCAGGAGCTCTATGGAAACAGCCTGTGCGGGTGTGGGTGGGGGGTGGATTTACTGACACCCCCACCACTGAGCCCAACACAGCCCTGGGGGTTGTACGTGTCAAGGTGTAGCAGTGTGGGTGTGTACACCTTGCAGTGAGTAGGGGTGGGGTGGCTGAGCCTATTGGAGAGTAGGAACATCTGCATGTGTGGTGTGTGTTGCAGTGAGTGGGGATTACACACGTGTGTGTGTTGGTGAGTAGGGATGTGTATGTGTGTATAATGGTGAGTAGGGATGACATGCGTGCATGTGTGTTATGGTGAGTGGAGGGGTGTGCTATGGTGTTTGTGCGTGTGTTATGGCATGTAGGGATGTGTGTGCGCGTGTGTTATGGAGAGTCGGAGGGCAGTTACGGGATGTGTGCATGTGGGGTGAGTGCATGTGTGTTATAGCGCGTAGGGATGTGTGTGTGTTATGGTGAATGGGGGGTGTTATGGTGAGCGTGTGCATGTGTGTTATGGCACGTAGGGATGTGTGTGTGCACGTGTGTTATGGCGAGTGGAAGGGCTGTTAGGGCATGTGCAGAGTGTGTGCCTGTGTTAAGGCATGTAGGGATGTGTGTGTGCGCGTGTGTTATGGCGAGTGGAAGGGCTGTTACGGCATGTGCAGAGTGTGTGCCTGTGTTAAGGCATGTAGGGATGTGTGTGTTATGATGAGTGTGTGTGCGCATATGTTATGGCATGTAGGGATGTGTGTGTGTTATGGCGAGTGGTGGGGTGTGTTACAGTGAGTGTATGTCTGGGGTGAGTGTGTGTCCATGTGTTATGGCGTGGGTGGACAGTTCGACGCGGGTCCTGCCCTGGGGGCTCCGTGGCGTCTCTGCAAGCGGGGGGCGAAGCCTGGAGTTGCCGAAGGGCTGGGAGCAGAGCCCCTGGGCTCCCCGACCCCATCCCGGGTGCTGTGCCCAGTGCTTGGGGGCGTTTCCCCCGGGATCACCCTCCCTGCAGGCAGGGGAAAGGGCAGAGGTAAATATAGCCCTGGCGCTGGCTCCACATTCTCCTGCCGCTTCCTGCCATTTATAATCCTCCCCAGGAAGCAGCCAGGCCCAAACCTTCCTGCGGCTGGCGCAGAGCTGCCTGCCAGCGACCCTTCTGCTGCCGGGGGCCAAAGGCGCTGGGGCCTGTGTCTAGACGGGGGTGTCCTGACATCCCTGCACCGCCCTGGCCTGGGCAGTGCTGGCACAAGCTCCGGGCAGTGATCCTTAGCCACGACCGGAAGCTCGTGCAGGGGTTGGGGGCAGGACGGGCACTCGGGGCTGGAGTGTCTGGGGGTCTGGTTTGCTCCTGGAGGTGCGAGGGGAGGTGGGGTCTGGCCTGGGTGTCCATATAGGGGGCAAGGAGCCGGGAAGCTGCTGTTGGCCCCCAACCAGCCTCTGGCATGGCTCTTTCTCTGATACCAGCCCTGTGGCATCCCCTTTGTCTCCTCCATGGGGTGCCTGCGGCATAGACTGCCGGCCGGCCAGACCCCAGAAGCAGCAGCCAGGCCCCGTTCCTGAGGTCCGATCTGGTGCCAACTCTGACCTGAGCAGCACCCGGCAGCAGGGACCCGGAACCACCCCCCCGCCCCAGAGCACAGCAAGGGGTAGGCAGGAACATCCAGACCGAGCCCAGGTGGGAATCAGAGGGGGGAAACCAGAAACCAGTGCCCTTCAGCGGGTGCAGGATGGGACCCCACGTGTGTGTGTGACCGCCACCTGACAGCAGCAGGTAGAAACCCCAGTAGAGACCCAGCTGCAGCGTGCCTGGCGCTGTACGTGCAAAGAGGTCCCCGCTCAAAGGGTTTCCAGGTTTGACGGGCAAAGCAAGGCTTGTTCCTAGGGGTGGGGGGAGATGGGGTCTGCCCACACCAGAGCTGCCAGCTGGCAGCTCCCAGGCCCCAAGCCCAGGGCAGCAGTGGGTGCAGCCAGGCGCTTCCCGCAGTGGCAGAGGGCAGGAGAGACGTCAGGAGGGCTGGGCATAAAGGAGGGCACGGAGGGGAAGGAGCAGTGGGGCGCAGGAGGGGTTAATCCAGCTGCTGTGGGGCGTGTGGGGTTCAGGCCAGCTGCAGTGGGGAAGGGCAGGGGTTAACGCGGGCTGCCGTGGCAGGGAGGGGTGGCTGGGGGTGGAGAGTCCTGGCAGCTTATATCAGGCTGCTTCCCCAGCCTGCTGGGCTTGCCTGAGCTCCTGGCTGGGCAGCAACAGGAGCTAGGCTGGGAGCCCCTGCCCCTGGCTGGGACCAGGTGAGTGCATCCTCTGTCCAGCTCCAGCTGTGGGTCTCGGGGGCAGGTACTCCAGGCTGGGATCCGTGCCGGGGTGCTGGGCGGGACTGCTGGGGTGCCCCTGTTTGCTGCCCCCCCATGCTGGGGCTCTGGCTGGAGGCTGGCCCGGCTCCAGCCGGGGTGGGAGCTGCCCTGTGGTTAGGAGCCGTCTCTGCAGGGCGGGCGCCCGTCTGCCCGCAACCTGCTTATTTATAGTGCCGGGCCTGGAGTTCAGCGCCGCGCTTTTTATAGATGGCCTGGTGGCGGGGAGGCCCCGTGGGAGCACGGCGATGGGGTCAGACCTCCCGGGCGGCCGTGGGAAATGCCACAGAGGTCTGGTGGCCAGCACGCCCGTGCAGGGGCGGAGATGCGTGCTGCCTCCCGGGGCTGCTGTTTTTCTGGGGGTTGCTGAGCTCGTCTGAAGCTTCGCTGCCGTGCTGACCAGATCCAGGTCCAGGCTCTGGGAACCAGCTTTGCTCTCTCGGCGACTGGGCGTGCAGTGGGAGCGCGTGCTGGGCTCCCCACCAGGAGCGGGTGACACCGTCCCAGTCTGGCCTGGGCTCACAGGAGCCGCGTGTGGCTTGAGTGATGCGTGGAGAGGCCTCGGCTTGCGGTAGCAGCGTTGCGCAGGTAGCTGCTATCACCTTAAACCAGGCTTTCTGCCCGGACTTAGCTGGACAGAGTTGCATGGGACGTCGCACTTGAATTTTCACGGGATGCTTTTCTTCCTTGCTGTAGTGGGGCATGGGGGACTTTGTGCTAGGGGCTGTATGTGCAGAGCAAGGACCGCTTCTGCCCTCGGCACTTGGACCAAGTGTGAGCAGCTGAGGCAGGCAGGCGGACGGGGGCGCGGGAGGAAATCGGTGCTGCTCTGGATACAATTTCCAGATGTCCTTTTGCACAGGTCACAAGCCCTTGGGCCTGAGGGCTGGAGCTGCCCTTTGAGTTTTTCCCCTCTGGTTTTTCTGAACTGGCGGCTGGAAGAACTTGGGTTTCATGGGACTTTTCTGGTTTGCGGCTCCGACCAGCGCTGGGACAAACCCAGACCTAGACGCGCGACTGGAAAGGCCTGTTTTCCCAGCAGGTCCCATAGCAGCCAGAGCTGGGCTGGGTCTCTCCCTGCGGACTCACTCCCGGTCCCCCCCGGGCTGGAGTTTAATTCTTGCTCTTTCTTTGCACTCAGGACATCTCGGGGCTGGCAAGTCCCTACCTGGGAATGCCCTTTGTGCCCGGGAGAGCCGGCAGTTCAGGGGAGGTGGTCGGGGATCTTTGCCTCTGTGCCCACCTGAGCTGGGTATTTCCATGCCTGGCCATAGTCCCCTTCTGTGGGGGGGAGAGCTGCTAATCTCAGGCACGTGGGGGCTTTCTCGTGACAGGGAAGCTGGCTCTGATCTGCACGGGTGCAGGGTGGGGGGAGGCTGGAGGAAGCGGAGGGGTTGGTGCCGGACTCGGAGCCGGGTGGGTGATCTGATCCCAGGCGCCGCCAGCTGCCCTGTGCTTTCTGCTCCCGGGCATCGCTCGGCTTTGGGGCTGGGAGGGCTGGGCTGGGCTGCTGATATCCCGCAGGGCTGGGGGGAGACGTGCCCGGGACAGGAAAGCTGGTTAACCATTAGCTCCCGATGCACTGGGGGGGCTCTTCCAAGCCATTTGTGTTCAAGGAAACCATCTGTTCAGCCCTGTCAGCTTCCGCACCTGATTTACTGCCCCGGCCCCGCGGTGCCCCGGCCCCGGGCTCGGCCCCTCCTTTGTTCTCAGCCGCCCTCGCTGGGTGATCAATTAGAGCGTGATGAGGCTCATTTTGCCCAGGGGTCTCTTAAGCCCGTGGGGTCATGATGCCAGTGGTGACCTCGACTTGTACCTACCGTAAGCTCCCCCTTGCCCTCCCCAAGCCCAGTTTGTTGCTGGTCAGACGAGGCCTGGTTTGGATGGGACCCCTTACCCCAGTTTGGGGCTTTCCAGGAAGAGCCAGAGCACAGCTCTCCAGTCCTGCTAGATCCTAGATGGCCGGAGGGGGCTGGTTCGCGTGGACGTAGCACGTGGAGGCCTCCACGAGCCATGCACAGACCATCCTGCCCCCACAGAAGCAAAGGGGCAGGGATGGACGCAGGAGCGGACCCCCCGGGCCTTCCATCCCGTGCTGCACGCAGGCTGCCTTTTTAGGGGGATCTGGCATGGACGGGCCCCAAGAAGTCTAAACCACTACACCGCCTCCCTCCGCAAGGCCTGGAAAGAGGAAGCTGTGAGGGTCCTTCAGCTTGTGAGCAGCCACCTCCCTCCGTGGCCCCGTTGGGCTTTGTTCGGCAGCCACTGGGCTCGTAAAGATAAGGCGGCAACTCTCCTATTTTTTCCTGTCGCGGCTGCTCCGGGGCTGTCGGCCGCGGCCCAGGCGGGCTGCAGGATGCACCGCGCTTCCCTCTTCCTGCCCCAGCGGGTTGCACCTCAGGCCTGTCTAGAAAGTGGCTCCTTCCTCACCTCCCTGCTGCCCCGAGCCCCCTCCCAGGCGCCTGCTCTTCCTGAGGCCGCGCCTGGCCCTCCTCAGCCGTGGTTTTGTGCCAGAGCTTCACGGGGTGGAGAAGGAGCTGTAGCAACGGGGTCTTTCTTCAGTGCCCCTGGTAGCCCGGGCACGAGGACTTCCCTGGAAGCTGGCTGGCAAAATCTGTGCTTTTCTAGCAAGTGGCAACTGGGACGGGCTTGGCGGGACAGGGAAGTGGGGGCATCTGTGAGCGGGGACCCCGCTCTTAATTCAGAACAGGCAGGGTCTGCTTGTGGGTGCCCAGCTCAGGCTGTCGCGTGGAGCCGTGGCAGGGCAGGCGGAGGCCCGTGGGTGCAGACGTCCCCGGGAGTGCTGGCAAGGGGCACGAGCATCTCCCCTGCAAGCCGGAAACCTCCTGGCTCTCCTGGGAGGCATTTACCCCCTTTCCTTGCATACAATACGCCCCTGCAGAAGGCACGCACCTTGTTTTTGAAAGGCAGAATGAAGAAAAGCAGATCTTGCCTTGGAAATACTGGCCGGCAGCGGGAAGGGACTGAGCGGCAGCTTCAGCAGCGTGCCCGTGGGGAGAGACAGTAGAGCTAGGGAGCCCCAGCTCCCCGGCAAAAACAGAGGTTACTGTATTTCCTCACCTATAACATGCACCCCAGTGTCCAGCAGCTGGGGTTTGTGTCATGAGTGAAAGAATATGGTACTTTTCTAGCCAGGAGCCCAACAGCCATTGCCCCTTGCCCAAGAAGGGCACTCGCCCATCACTAACCCCCATCCCTCTTCTCTTCTTCTAGGTGAGGAGCTGAGCTGTCGGGACTCAGGCTCCATGCCCCGAGAGGACCTTGCCAGCTGCAGGCAGGGGTGGAGATCTGGTTAAGGGGCTCTGCCAGCCCGTGGACACGGGTGCCAGCGTGCTTCCCTGCCCCGGCTGGACTCGGAGACTGCTTAGATCCGGCTGGTGGACGACAAGCTGTGCCGGCACCTTGTGAGGAAGGCAGTGGGACTTACGGTGGGCTCTGGGCTCCTGCCATGGTGCCCTGAGCCTGCCCTGCTGCCAGCTGCCCCTTGTCGGGGCACGTGTCCCCGAGAGCCAAGGGGCCCGGTGCCATGAGGCCGGTATCGCCAGCCAGCGGGTTTTCCCCGCTGGGGCTGCTGACGCGGGGGCCAGAGTACCTGCGCCGGCAGGTGGAAGGGGACCGGGGCGCCCGCTCTCCCAGCGCTGTGGAGAGGCTGGAGGCCGACAAAGCCAAGTACGTCAAAACCCAGCAGGTCATTGAGAGCCGGCAGGAGCCCGTGCTGTGCAGCAGCACCCCCCGGCCATCCCCTCGCCCCCGGCGCCTCCTCATCTCGCACCAGTGCAACGAGCTGAGCGTGGAGCTGAGCTGGGACAGCCCCTGCCGCCCAGCGCCCCCGCAGTCCCCCGTGGCACGGCGTGGCGGCAGCAAGCGTGGGCTGAGGCCCGACTCGCTCGTCATCTACCGGCAGAAGCGAGACTGCACGGCGGGGAACAAGGAGAACGCCAAGGGCTATGGCCTGGTGCGGTGGCTGCTCCAGGGGCCCCTGAGGGACAAGTCCCCCACATCCCCCTCCTCTGGAGGCCTGGAAGAGGAGCCTCTGACCCTGGAGAGAGAAGAGACGGCCATGGCCTGGGTGCCCCTGGAGAAGGAGGTGGCTGGAGGGCAGAGCCCAGGAGGCAGCCTCTTTGCTCCTGGCACCAGCCCCATGGAGCAGGCGTCACCCAGCGCCCAGAGACACCTGTGCAGCTCCAGCCCCATGGAGCCGGCCTCAGCCCGTGCCCAGAGACCCCTGCCCAGCCCTGGCCTGGGACAGCCCCTGCCGGGGGCCAAGCCGGCGCTGGCCCTGCGCTGCTCCCTCCCACTCTCGGAAAAGGAGCGGTTCTTCAACTACTGCGGCTTGGACCGGGACCTGGTGGAGGGCCTGGGGGCAGAGCGCTTCGGGGCGGCGGGCTGGGACGTGGCCTCCTCCCTGCACCCGGGCAGCCGGGGCTCAGCTGGCTCGGGGTCCCAGGGCGCCCCGTCCCAGGGCAGCGGGGACGAGCCGGGCATGCGGCTCTGCTCCGCCATCTCCATCGTGGAGCGCAACGCCCGGGTGATCAAGTGGCTCTACGGCTGCCAGAGGGCCTGGGCGGCCGGCCGGGAGTCCACCGTGTGAGCGCGGAGATGGGCCAGGGCCCCGGCTGGGTCTGTGCCCAGGACATTGGGCTGTGGACTTGTGGCAGGATGGACTTGGGGAGGGGGAGATGTGAGCTGGTTCCTCCCTGCTGCCCTCCCCGGCACCGCGGGGTGTAGCGTCCCCGGCAGGGGCGACCCGCTGGCCCACATTGGGTTATAGAGGCGAGATGGGACCCAGGCGTCTCCGTGGCTGGTCCCAGCCGAAACCCCCTAGTTTCCCCTGACTGCCGCAGGCTGAGGTGCAGCCCTTGGATCTTCCCTGGAGCTGAGCTCTGCCCAGGCCTGGGGCTGGCAGGAGTTGGGGCCTCGTCCGTGGGTTCAGCGGGCACGATGCTGCCCCTTGAGAGCCGGCTCCGTCAGCTGCCACCTCCCTCCCAGGCTTTTCTCTGTGTTTTCTGGATCAGGAATAAAACCAGATGCACCTGGAGTCCCGCTGCCTGCGCTCTGGGCTGACGGGGGGCTGCTGCTGGGGGGTCGGGGGTGGGCAGGGCCAAGGGCATTGCGTGCACTGCTCCGGGCTGGGGGGAGCGCCTCCCTCTCTGAAGACCTGGCGCTGGGCGAAGGTGCCCCTTGGTTGGCAGGCCCGAGCCTGGCTCTCATCCCCAGTCCCTCTCCCAGGCTTGGCCAGGTGGAGCTGAGCTCCCCGGAGCAGCGCGCTGCTACCAGCCCGCACAGGTCCCAGGCAGCCGGGAGCCTGCCAAGAGCGCTGGGAGCGGGGAATTACTCATCTTCCCCTGCCCTGTGCCCTCCATCTCCAGGTGTGGGTGGCTCCCGCTCCCACCCTGCCCCGCTGGGTAGAACGGCTGCCTTTGATTTTGGCATCCGCGTGCTCTGCTCTTGCCAACCCCCTCCTCCGTGTCCTTCAGCTGCCTCCATGAGGGGCCACAGAGAGCCAGAGCCTCAGGCAGGCCGATGCCTCTTGGGGTCTCCCCGACCCCCCAGCTGGGAGAAGCCAGGCCCCAGGGATGCTTCCCTCGAAGAGCCGAGCTCTGCCCCTCCAAGCCCTGGCCCGGGGGCCCTCCTTTCCCACGGCAGCACTCAAAGCAGAGGGAGGTGGTGTGGTGCATTGGCAGGGATTTTTGGGAAGCAATGGGGAAACCAAGTCCTAGAACAAGCCCCTTCTTGCCCCAGCCGGGGGCAGGTGCTAGCAGCCTGGGAGCCCAGATCCTGCATCTCCCCCCAGCTGCTGCAGGGAGGAGGAGGTGGCCGGAAGGGAGCCCGGGAGAGGGTCCGAGACCCCGGTGTGCCAGGGGCCACGTTCGTGATAGCACCAGCTGGAGCTTTGCTAGCCCCGACGGGCCTCGTGTATCCAGCCCAAACCCTTCAGAGCTGGAAAATGCCAGCAAACGTTACCGGAGGTGGCTGGACCAGGAGCATTTCTCCCCCTCAGCCAAGCAGGGCACGTGAAACCCTCAAAAGGGAACCACACGCTGTTGGCACTAGCAGGTGTGCAGGCTCCTACGCAGCATTTGCACACCAAGCTCGGAGAGCTCCGGGAGGAACCCAGGGCGTCCGACCCGTCCTGCCCCGGGCGTGCGCAGTTCTTTGCAATTGAATCGCTCTTGTATTTTCTGCCGCCACCAAAAAACCAGTGGAAGCCACGAGCTGGCATTTTCCAAAGGGGGCGGTGGCATCTGAGGAGGCTGAGGACCACTCGTGCATAAACTCGGGGCATTTGGTTAATGATGGTGATACCCTAGGTTTTCCTCCAGCACCGTGGAAGTGCTGGCAGCCGGTGGCTGTCTCTGGTGCACACGTCAAGGTGGGAGGGAGATGGGGCTGCAGCAGAGGTGCTGGAGGTCGTCTTCACAGAGCTCGGGGAGGGGAGTTTGGGGGTCTGTGGCCTTCTGCAGTCAGCACGGGGACCACCTATGTCCGAAGCGTGTTGTACACGCTGCCCTTGGTCTGCCAGGCGGGCAGGGGCCAACTGACCCCGTGCCAGAGCTTCTGTCGACGCTCTAGTGCCCGCAGCTGCTGCCTCCCTGCGGACTGAGCTGAGAGCGCCGAGCTCGTCTCGGGTCGGGGGGAAGGAGACCAGCTTCTTAGCGGCGTGAAACCGCTGATGCCTCTGGTGGGCCCGGCCTGGGGGTCCCAGCCCCTGGGCACCCACAACGTGATGCTGGGGCCTTTGCTTTTCCCTTGCACCGCCCCTACCCGGGGCTCTGCCTGCCTGGGCTTGAGTTCCCTGCCAACCTGTCTGCAAGGCCATAAAAGAGCAGCACCACCTGCACAAGCAGGTGCCTTTGCTGCAGCGCGGGAGAGCGGGGCGTCACGCCCAGCCCGCACGGTGCGAGAAGGGCCCCTTGGAGCCGGCCCCGATAGTGGGACCGTCCGCGTTTCTAGAGAGGACACAGAGCCGCCACAACTCACCGCAAAAGGACAGTGTCAGTGTTAAACAACCACAGCAGCAGGGACGCGGCCTGCCCTGCCCTGCCCTGCCCGCCTGGCAGAGCACAAGGCAAGCCCTGTTGGCGCGCGGAGGGAGCTTGGAGCTGCACAAATACAGGGTCGTGCTCGGGGAGTCACCCGGGGTCTGTCCGGCACTGGTGACCCTGGGGACATCCCCCTTGGAGGGGGCAGGGTCCCAGCACCCATCAGCACCCGCTGGAGCTCTCGCTTCCAGTGCGGTGCCGGAGCGAAGCCCAGCTCCTGTGACACGAGTCTTTAAAGTGTGCCCAGGGCCTCGGTTCTGGGGTGACCTACTCGAGACGGCTGGTAAAGGGGGCTGGCTCTGGAAACCTGGTCCCTGTAACGATCCCCTCTCCCCGTCTCACGGCGGGTGAGATTCCCACAGGAGCGAGAGCCCCGCCAGCAGGGAGAGGAGCTGGCTGGGGTCAGGCTCCGCGTCTCCCACCCCAGGGGCACGACCCGGGCACCACACCGTGGGACACTGGCAGGGGGATACTCTCGGTCTCTCCTGCCCATTCAGGGTCGAGCCGTGAGAGGTTTCTCCCGCCCGGACTGCAGCCCTCGCCGGCTGCGCCCATCCTCCCTGCTTTGCAAAGCCCCTGCAGAGGGTTGCAGGCTGCCATGTCCTAGCGGGGAGGAGACCCCGGCATCCCAGTGCCTTGTTCAAACGGTGATGCTGCCAATACAGTGCCGAGGACGGGGAAGGGAAGGTGGTCGAGCCTGGGAGACGATGCCGCTCTCATTTCCAGGGTCGGGGGAGCAGCTACCTGATGCTGGATGGTCCTGTCCCAGCCCCGCAGCTCCCGGGGGCAGTCTGGGAGTGGGGGGAAGAGGAGACCTGCCCCTGGCAGTGCCGTGGGAGTCTTTGCAGGGGCTGTCCATCGGCTGGGCCTTCTCCCCTAGTTGCTCTTGGAGGGGGTTTTATTCCGGATCTCGGCCAGCTTGCTGGCCAGGAGGCCCCAGCGGAACGGCCCCTCCTCCGCATCCCGGAGGTCACTGCCATTGCTGGGGTAGGTGGCCTCGTCGCTCAGGGCTTCTCCGGCCGCCCCAGTGGCATCCTCACCCACGGGCTTGCTGTACTCGGGCTGCGCGCCCTTCTTGTCCAGCACGGTGGTCTGCTGCCATTTGGTGGCGAAGATGTCCCAGAAGCCGGAGGCCTTCCTCTCGGACGGTGGCAGCTCTGCCGGCTTGGCTGCCAGGGGGCTGGAAGCGAGGGACGGGGTTTAGGGTCGGGTCGGGGCAGGGCAGCCTCTCCGCACACACAGGGGAGGAAGATCCCAGACAGCGCACGTGGCAGGGCGCTGGCTCTGAGCAGGGCGAGGGGAGCGTGTCCTGGAGGACAGGACCGCAGCAAGCCTGGGAAAGGCACCTTGCCGGCATCCAGGGCTGTTGCAGGCTTGGGTTTCCAATGAGCCCTCGCCCCGATACCCCACCGCCCCTCTGCCTCCAGAGACACCCCTCCAGCACGGCAGGGCTCAGCTTACTGGTCAGCGCAGGGCTCGGGCGTCAGCAGCTGGTGCTCATCCTCCCTGTTGAAGAGCGACGAGAAGGTCCTCCAGCTCTTGGCGCTGGCTCCCTGGACCTGTGGGCAGGACAGCGGGGTGGGAAGCTGCCATCGGCAAAGCTCCCACCCGCAACCCGGCTCCCTGTGCGTGGAGCTGGCACCGAGCACCCCTGGGGCAGCTGGCAGGAGCCGTGGGGCAGGAGCCCTCAGCAAGCCCCTGGGTTCATACAGCGCCTTGCACCCTGGCTCTTCAGGGCTACGCGGCACTTCTATATTCGCTGGCGCGCCCACCCCAGTGGCAGGGCCCCGGGAGCTGGGGGTATAGAGAGACTCGTCACCTGCATTTGCCTTCTCCCCCCAGCCACCACCCTCCTGCCCCGTGGGGCTCTGCCCTGGCCGCAGGGCCTTGGCCCTCTCCTGCGGGAGGGAGCTGGTTCCTTTAAGATCCCTTCTTCCGCCAGGTGCCCGAAGAAGGGACCACACCTGCCGGCGCTAATGGAGGGGAGTGGAAGAGCCTGGGTCTGGGCAGGATGACCTGCCATTGCTGTATCCCCACTGACTGCTCTGTTAATGCCCCCGGGTAGGTGCCTTCGTCTCCTGGCACTGCCCTGAGCCCTGCCTGCCGCTCTACAGTTGGAAGACAGGGGCTTGCATGGAGCATCCCATCCCTAGTGGGGACAGAGCCCAAGCCGCCGTGGTGCCAGGTAAGGCTGATGCTGTCTGTGCCCCCGGCCTGCATCTGGCCTCCTCTGGCTGTTGCACTGTGGCAGGGAGCTTCCCGGGCGGATCCATCTCAATAGAGATGTCTGCAAAGCTTCACCCAGACCGGGGGTAACTGGCGCCGGGTCCGGGAGCTCTTGGGCTGGGGGGCGCGTGTGATGGGAGCCCTTACCCTCCGTGCCAGCTGGGCCACGGGGTTTGCTCCGGCCTCCGTCAAAACCGGGGCCTCGGCCGTTTCCACCAGCTCGGGGTTGTCGCTCTGGAACAGAAAGGCACTGTCGGCTGTGGGGCCGCGGGGACGGGGTGGGAGCACCGGGGCTTCAGGGGCAGAGTCTCATCACCCCTGCAAGCATCTCCTCGTTGCCACCCACTGGCTGCCCCTTCG